TGGCTTGATGAGCCTTGCTTCCACAAGAGTTCACAGGTTTCGCCAGAGTGAGACTTGTAAGACCGGAACCAGGGAAGCAATGATAGTACAAAATCCCCCCTCGCCGAATTGCGCCCGAATCGAAAACCTCTACATGTTAGAATTATGAAACATTTTCGAACACTTCCCAATCATTGCACTCCGTTGAGGAGGGAGGGACCCCCTTGATCAGCTATGAGAAACAGTAAATTGTCGTCTCATCAGTGTACGACTGCCTTAGGAGTGTGACTTGTCACTCCGTGGAGCCCATCCACTTGTAACCAGAAGAGTAACTAAATGAAAGAGTAACCATAAAACTACGCTGAAAGCCAATAATACACTTTCTAGCGATAGCTGATTGCCCTAATGGGCATGGCGATACGGTAGGGGAACGGCCTGATAGAATATGAAAAGTTAATTCATCATGCCACATAGGCAATGTCGCTAAAAGCTTTATCGGGCTGACGTATGAAGAGCTTTTTGCATTTTAGTGACGCACGAATTTCACTTCAACGGGGCTTTTGCTCAGAAAACGCATCGAAGCTTTATGTGAGCACGAACGAATTGATAACAAGCATGAGGTCTATAATCTCCATGCTGGCTATAATCATATGCGCAAACAAATGCTTTAACACCCTCCTAATCATGTTTATCGAGTGTCAGTCGTGCAGAACTTATTAGGAGCTTTCATATGTTGACCGTATTGTCAGCTGTGGCCAATTATTCTAGCAAATATTGAGTATTTTTCATCAAAGGCAACCACGCGTTCATAGATGGCGAGTAATGGAGCTCAAATTGAAACCACAAGGTACTATGTAATTCCATAGTGAAGAAGAAGTGATGATAGCGGCAGAAAAACTGTCAAAAATGCACCACAAAGGCGTACGTGCGATCATTCGCGTTATGTACAGTCCTCATCATTGCGGACCGGTGGGGCGTGGCAGTGCGGCTGCGTTTGGTGCGGTTTGGCAAAGTCGTTCTGCACCAGTTTTTGAAGCGGGCAAGTGCATTACTGTATTATATCCTTCGTATTAGTCGTTTTCTACCACTTTTTGTCGCATACGCGTTGCAACAAAAAAGGCTGAGAACGGCTTCAACAGTGTGCGCACTCCTTCTGACACCATCCACTCCACTCCGCCCCACCGGTCCGCAATGATGAGGACTGTACGTGTGTATGGCCAGGAGCAGGCGTGATTGTACGAATTCTCACTTGTTGCTATCTCAACGATATCATCTCTTCTCCTTCATCACCTTACTCTCATCATTCCATCTAGAATTGAGAGAGCTAGCAGATGGGCAACTAGCTATTAACTAGTAGTCACTGGTGGTTGGCATGGGCCTGGGATGCAGTACAGCCTCTACAATGGCCTAGCCTTAGTTTATCGCTGAGTGGTCCTTCAAAGTAGGATTTTACTGGTTACAAAACTGACGCAATGGATAGAGGCTGACTTTGATTCGATGGATTCGCTACTGAATAACGTCCGCATGTGCCAGCTGATTCACGGTGGAATCCTGGCCTCCAAAGAAGACGACCACGTCGAAACGTGAGGCCGTGGACTGATCAGATCATTATACCTAAAAACTTCGAGAGGTTTAACAATATTGACAAAATAAGCAACGAATAATGAAGCTGGTCACCCTCAGAAGGACTCTTGAGACGGAATCTGTCCAGACTAATCAGGAAATCAGGCGCGGGACTGGCTAGTTGATACCAGGGCGCATCATGACGATGAGGAAAATGACGATTCGCTGATTGGACACCTTTGTATTCATTTGTCACCTAATTGTATTTATCACCTAATTGTATTTGTCACCTAATTGTAAAGGAATGTGCATTTGACAAACAACAAAGGGATAAGAGACAATGAACAGCAAAAAAACCCTCCAATATTTAGCTGAAGTTCTTTTCACAATAACTCAGAGCAAAAAAATTAACCCTAGAGGGTCTAATTCTGGAGATCTCGAGCAATGTATAAAAGTTTTTCGCCAAGGAATCAATAGAGGTGTCTCCATAAAAACCTTTTCGGCATTTACATATCAAAGCGAGTGTCTTCAAAGCCAGTGAGCGCCAAGTTTTGAATCTTGTTTATCTCTTACTATTGTTTTTATATCATTTTGTCTTATCTATTCTATTGGTGGCAGCTTTGACTATTTTATCATTACAGCTCGTTCTACTACGCCGGAACCAGAAGGGAAGATTAGGACCCAGTTGACTACTACTGAAATGGTGGTTTCAGTTTGAAATATTCGCTTCTGCTACAAAATCATCACGGCAACATAACATGGGACATGCAAAAATGTAGTCACAGCCTTACAACTTAATTAATGCTCTTATTTTTTTAAATTTGAGTTGTAAAAGGGCTTTGTTTCATCTCTCGTTTGCGCATAAGAACAATTCTAATGGCTTTAAGCAGATTCCACTAGCTGATAGCTGATAACATAAGCTAACCACATTTACATGTTTTTAGTCACTTCCTGTTGAGGATATGAGTCTCTTATAACATCTCATCCCTCCAGGGGCGGATAATCATTCTGGGTGTCAAGGGAAACTCAATTAGTCAACGAGCTGGTCCTCATAGCTGGGCTGGGAGCTTGGAAGCCTTAGTTGTCGAAAAAACCCCCCCTTTTTCCTTCAATTTTTTCGGCCGATTAAACAGCTTTAAAAATTCTCAGCCTTCACCAGTAAGGTCCCTTGTTATTGAAATCTTCTACTTCCAGCCAAGAGCCCGCATTACATGCACGACGTATTTGGTGAACTGAAGAATCTGGGCCCATTGTGAGGTATGCGGAATCTTAGAGAGATGCGAGGTACCACGGGATCTCCATTCATCCCATAACACCACAGGGGAACACAACAGAGAACGAACATTCCCTATCTAGTCTTGGAAGGACGAAAGACACTGGTTTGCATGATGTTCAGAGGCGAAACGAACCATTTTTCTGTCTATTTTGTTTCATAAATACATTTTTTCTTCGTTAGATCCTATTTGCCACCGATTTCATCCTTTCTATAGGCTCTGCATTTTGCACAGATTCGCCACCTTTCCGCAGATCAGTCATTCTTCCAAAGTCGTCGCGTATGAACACGGCCTTACTACCGCCTGCCAGGACTCCGCTTCTATTCAGGCAGTGAATGAAACCGGCTGAGCGCTTGTCTTAACCTATCCTCAGTCCTCAGGCCCTTGGGGAACGCCAGGATTTTCCATAGCACAGCTTCCAGAAACGAAGGGCTTATTTTCGGGCCTTCTTAACCTTTCTCTTCGTTTTGTACCACCGATGCACAGTAGAACGGTACGTTCTCAGTTCTCTCGCCAACGTGACTTAAACTGTCATGTGGCTGCAGTCTTTTGGCACGAAGCCAACTAATGACTGCCACTGGCCAAGTTCTCTCTCAAATCTATCGTTGATATCAATTAGGCCATCCGATGGCAGGGTGACGCCCCCGCTTAATTGTCGTCGTAGACGAGTGTTCTTTGCTCTCGATTCCTATAGCGCCAGGATGATGCAATCCGACGGACGCGTCCGTTCTGGTCACGCCCCTCGGCGACGTCCGTATAAATGCCCTTCATGACGCGCATATCCTCTTTAGATTCTGCTAGCACTTTCTCCCCTTTTCATGGGCTTTAGGGTCAGATGCTGCAAAAGATTCTGATGAATTACGATAATTATGCTTTTGCCGACAATGTTTCAGGATCTTTGGGTCTGAACCCTCATTTTTCGGGGGATGAGTTTGATGTCTCTTGAACTTAGTGATTTTTTCCCTAAATTACAAGGGAATAAAGGTCTGGTTGGCGCTCGGCGCATATTAATTAATCACTTTGATATGTACTTATATGCTCTTCATTATCGCATTTCATCCGATTTTTCACTTTACTTTTGTTTATTTCTTCCGAGTAACCTTGAAGGGGTAGACATCCTCCTGCTGTGTAATAAGTAAAGTCCCATTTGTGGTATTTGGAAGCTGTTGTTTTGTTTGTTTTGCTGCCTTTGCGCATAGAGGTCTTTGATCCTCCAATCATCTAGACGACTCCTCCCTCCACGTATTCCTTCTTGGAACGTTCACGTCCACGAAATCTTGCATTTGTAGCTGTAAGATCGTCATATTATATTCTTTCGCCAAATAGATTACTGTCACCTTACAATAACTCGTTACAGTAACCCTATGTCCCCATTACTCTGTGAAAATCTCTGTATTTCCAGCTACGATAACGATGCACGCTACAACATCTAAGGACTCTGTATACTTTTTCGGCTACGGGTCATTAATTTGGAATCCGGGATTTGCCTACACAAACAAGGAAAAAAAGCTTATGCACATGGATTTGCCCATGCCGTCGAATGTACCAGGGCAAAATACAATATCATACGAGGCGATCGTTTTAACCAGGTTCGTTGTCTTTCCATACTTTTGAGTTCTTTGGCACTTTCTTATAGCGTCGTAGTGCTAGCACTTTCGTATAGCGTCGTACTACTGATGCGTGAACAGATGTTTTGTCGCGGTCTCTTATTGATCCCGCCGAGGAAGAGGAAGTAGTAACTCAGAAAAGTTGCTGTTGTGGCCCACCGACTTCTAGAAACAGCAGGGCGCGATTCGGGATTACTCATGAATGAGGAAGAATTAGGCGGATCACGAAGAAGAAAAAGAATTCGATGAATGCTGTTGTCTTTCTGTCCTGTCCCTTGAACAGACCAAGATCCCGCTAATGTTCCACAGGACCTACCTAGTCAACGAAAGAAAAGAAGAGTCTGAACCACCGCGCTCACAATAAGATCCAACGTGTTGAGATCGAATCAGCAGGGGCCGACGTTTGAGGAGCGGACTGAGGCCGCATCATTGGCATTATCTGTTTAGGGCTAGCCCTCCTACACTAGACCGGGCGAATTTTTGTGGAAATTTTGAGGCGTGGGGGGGCGGGCAAGTAGGTAGGAGGGGGGGGCAAGTAGGTGAGGTTAAACTTTCTCTGAGAAGTGGAAGGAGAGAGAGTTAAGGTTAGGAGGTTGAAGTCGGGTTGAAGAGGGTCCTTATGATGGCAGCGGCGAAGAAGGGGAATCACGCTGGTCGGCTAATGGCCATACATAAATCCCTTAATGTGCCCAGCTCCTAACGCTCGTTTTTCAGCCTAAAAGGCGTTTCTACCGTCTTTTTCCCAAGACCCTTTGGGCAAGTTCGTAGATGAAGTGGGGACGATATATCTTCGTTGAGTGCACCATGTATCCTACCTCCATTCAAAACACTAGAAAGTTCTGCCTCCCAAAGCTAGTTCAATTTCAAGTGCCCATTTGTACCTTCCCAGACAAATGTGAGGATTGGGTCCTGAGACCGTACTACTTCCTGAGAAGTAGAAAGCCTGGTTGGGACGCGAGGGGATCAGTACTGAGACCGGACAAGCAGTAGCAGCGCCTCATTCCTCAGAGCTCGGCATTACAGTGAGAAATTTCAGCCAGGACGCGTAGCGACGCTCGTGCGAGACGAGGACTCATTTGCCACCGGAGTCGTTTTTGAAGTGGTCGGCGAGGACAACATTCGGGAGGCATTTGTACATCTCTGGGAAAGAGAGGTAGGTCATTTTTTCCCTGAAAATGATTCAGGACAAAATGCTTGGATCTTAATGTCATTGCTTTCAGATCAATAACGGTTACGATTTTGTCGAAATCGCTGTTGAAATTGCGGGTACTGGTGATGTGATCAACGCCTGGACATGCATAGCCCGACTGGACAATGAATTTTACCTTGGCGATGCCGACATCGAACAAATGGCCGTAGAGATTCGACGGGCCAGAGGATGTGCCGGCCCCAATTTCGAGTGAGTTCAGCCACATGCTGCTTTCTCGCCAAGGCTTCTGGAAAGTACTCTACTGACGGAGATGTACTTCCATGGCCTCAGAGTTCAGACCCGAAAACCCTTGATTATCATGCCCTTTCCAGATATGTACTGAAGCTGGCGGAACACGTTCGATTGCTGTTTCCGGACGATGAAGACGAACATCTTTTTGAATTGGAAAGTCGGATTCGACTGCAAGGAGTCGCCTACGTCTAGAGAGAGTCAGCATCGATCTTTGGTACTAATTTGCGGGGAAACAGGACGACATGCTGCATGCTGCTTTAAGCCTTCACAGAGCTCTTCTCAGAATTCTATTAGCTTTACTTCGGGAGCAATGGTCTTTCATTCGCTTTCACTTTCGTCATTTATCGTAGCCACTGTACAATAATTTAGTACTGTATAAACTATTTATCAATGCCTGAGATTACTGTACGCTTCACTTTGAACAAAAATTAGGTACTTATCGAAATTTCTACAGGGCTTCCCGAATTCTTGAATAGAGAATGTTGAGAGACGGACAAGACAATCGTTGATTTGTCGCTCGTCGCGCGTGGCGATGAGCGGCAAGTATTTTCTTTCTCTTTTGGGGCGGAAACTCATATGAATTCGAGCGGAGACATGAAGCCACGACGGTGCTGTCGAATTCATTCGTTCCCTTCAACTCTCAAATTCTCTTCAACGCTCAAATTCTGAATGCTAGGTAGGGACAACTCGTCCTATCGTTGCGCGGGCGTCGCTCGCAGACAATCGCCATGCAGCGTGGCATATTACATAAATTAACAGGAAACTTAATGTGCGAAGGAGTGTTGTGCGTGTAATTGCAGAATATCCTGGAAGAGAAAGGAAACAACCTCCACGTTGGTCCCCTTCTTGGTACCTCGGCATGAAGTCGGAGGCTTCAGTATTCTTCTGCCAAACCGAGTTGTCTGAATGAAACCTTTATGCTGGCCAACCTTCCTAACTGATTGCCTTGAAGCGGGAAAGCGCAGGTCGAAACGCTAGAGTGGTGAGGGCGGCTGTCGGTCGGCTAGGTAACGAATTAAAAGCTGGAGTCCTTTTCTGGCCTTGAAAAAGAGCGAGGAGGTCTGAAACAATATAGGCCCATAAACACGGTTTTTTATCATAACCACCTGGTTTGGCAGAAGTAATTGAAGCATTCAGAAAAAAAAGAAGTTTCTAAGCGCCTGATTTCCTGTAAAGCGAGCTCCCGGAGTAGGGAAATTGTGGTCCTTTCACCGAACTGAGAATACTGAACCATCGAACACGTAACCCCTGTACTACATGCGAGAACAAGGAAGACCAGCATTTGTACTACGCCCCTTGACACAGTGTAAACCAGCTGGCCAGACGCTGACGTCACATTCTTCGACGAATTATTATCAATGGACTGGTGATTGTTGAACTAAGGATAGGATAAACGCTGATATGGATGAACGGAAAGGCGATGTGATCATCCTGTTACATCCTTCTTGTCTCTCTTACGCGTCATTTCTTCGGAAACCTTATAAGATGACGCCATATTTTTTTATAATTCTTAGCCTTTTTGACTGCGACAAGCGCTTCCCACAATGCATTATCCTTCGTGCTATTTCAAGCAACAACACCGGAATTCATGGGCTGTATTCATAAGCTCAGCACGCTGTATAAAACATCGATTCACATCAAACGGAACACAAAACGTCTCAGGAAAAAGGTCCGTAAGAAAAGCAACTAATTGAAATATTGGGGACAACTACGATTATATTCGAGCGCTAATAATCATAAAGCGCATTTAAAACATTCTTTAACAAGTATGGGAATAATGTCATCCAAATACAACTGCCCTTCTTTGCAACATATGTTCTTGTACTTTTAACTGATTCATCAGTGCCGAAGCTTCTTCCC